AGAGAGAGCGATCGGAGAAGGAAGAAGAAGCTGAAGAAAGATGGGTCACGGAGAAGTAGATAAAAGCAAAGGATTTGCAGAAGAAGCAAGTAATCAGCATCATCAATACGGTACCTTTCAAGGTGTTTCAAATTACCCACCGCCGCAGAATTCTGCTCCGGTCACTGGTTTTCCTCAACCTTCGGCCCCTCCTGGAGTTTATGATTCCGTTCCTTACGCTCATGGATACCAAACCACCGTTCCAGGTAGCTGAATTGGTTTTTCTGATTCAATTTTTGCAGATCGGGAATTTTTTAGGTCTATGAATTTTTGATGAAATTTCTCTTCTTCAGTATTTTTTTTTCATATGGAAATTTCATCACAGGATCATTAGTATGTTGGTGAGTTTGGATTTGATTGTTCTTGTGTGGAGTTTGAGATCCAACTGTTGTTGCAGTAACATAATAAGGAGTAATTTATACTGAATAGAAACCTTTTTTTGGGTATTGCATGTTAAGGAAAAGGATCTTTATATGAAAATCTAACTTTTGTTTTCATACATTGAGATGAAGTTATGATGTGGAATAACCAAATCGGTGAAGTGAAAAAGAGAAATATTTAAATGAGATTTTAAAGTTTGGAGCTTTGAGTTCTCTAGCTCCCAAGATAGTTGAGTTGTTTCGGTTTGTGCTATAAATCTATAAGTTACTTCTGGCATGTCTCATTCTCTCTTCTTCTTGTTCAAGTCCAAAATCGACGTCTGTTCGTCGGTTCTTATGTTTACTCTTTCGTATTGTTTTATTTTTCAGTGCACGGTGTTGTTGCTGAAGGAAGACCTGTGAGACAACGCCGTCTTCCTTGCTGTGGAATTGGTCTCGGATGGTTCCTGTAAGTTCCTCCTTTTCTTGTTTCTTCCTTCAAACTCAGAGCGCAAATACTCTCTCTTCACATGGATGCTACACTACATTTGCTTTTTATGATGTCCTGGTATCACAATTTGTAACCGGGACCTTTCTTTTTCGGTTGTTATAATATCCCTGTGAAAATTTGATATTTTGAAGGTTCATAATTGGATTTTTCCTTGGAGCAATCCCGTGGTATATCGGATTGTTCATCATGATGTTTGGAAGAAGGATCGATTACAGGGAGAAACCAGGATACATCGCTTGCACTATCGCTGTAAGTT